GGGAAAAAGGAATGGCATTCCAAAAAATATATTTAGTTACGGAAGTCTCGTGGTCTACGTCCAATGATATTCTGTGGAGATATTAGAGAGGAAGACGGAATCGCCAACGCAAGTAGGACAGGTCGATCGAAAATCTTGAGGCTTGAGCGGAAATTATTAGGGACGGTAAAAAAAGGATCCGTTCATGAGCGCTTCCAAAATCGCAGTAGACCTTCATTCGCCTGCATGAATCGTGGTAAACGCGGAAGCGATTCGATTCACATCATTCTGATTATTGTTGGATACATTATGAAAAAACAGAGACAGTTTAATTAAATGTGACATAGCTCAAATAAATTATCTAAACCTGTGAGAAAACTTCGTTTAGTTACAACACTTTAAGTGATTAACCTCGAATCTTTTCTTTATCTTAGTCTCGTAATAGGCATTGAACTTTTATGTTTTCCAAGTTTTCCCACCATTCCCCGCCCGGCCAATCCGAACTGTCTAGAATCGAGAACTCGCTGAGATATGATCTATTTCGACCGTGACCTGTAAAAGCCTTAGTAGTTTTAAAAAGGTATAGGGTTAAATCGACATTCAACCTTCAAGCCCCTGTTGTTGGCAACTAAACCTTCCTTGTGGCCACTTTTCTGTTCTTTTATAGATATTAAAAATATATGTGCTATCAATGTTAACAGTAAAATTCTTGGCTACATTGACTGCACAAAACATCGTTGCTGGGGATGGGATTATCGCATTTTATGACAGGAGCTAAGCCCGGTCACTTGTACTACCAACTTCAAAGCTACAGTGAAAACTGGGTTAAACGGAAAATATCAAGAATTCGCGTTTGAAGGTTTATGTTAACCCCCACGCTGCAACCTAATTGCGAAGCTTTGCTATCCAAGCATTCCGATTTTTTATTCGTTACTGCAGCATCTTATACTATAAAATCATGTTCTACATCGTTCATGAAACGCTTTCATTATAAAGCGACTCGCAGTATTAATTATTTACGTTAGGACTATATAAATATTTAATTAATGTGGAATCCCTCCCTCTCTCGCTCTCTCTCTCTCACTCTCTCTCTCTCTCTATCTATCTATCTATCTATCTATCTACCTATCTATCTATCCATCTTTCTCTCTATCTCTCTATCTATCTATCTNTCTCTCTCTCTCTCTCTCTCTCTCTCTCTCTCTCTCTCTCTCTCTCTCTCTCTCTCTCTCAGGTTCTCTCCCTCTCTTTCTATCATTTTCTTTTTTTCTCTCTCCCGTACTCTCTCGAATTCGGTATGTTTGTCATCCTCACTCCTCACTCTCTCTTATTTGCTCTCTCCTCTTTTTTTACTATCTCTTTAATTACACATATTTATCTGTGTAGTGAGGCTTTTTACCTTCGACTCATCGACCCGCATAATAAAACTGGAGTTTCTTGCTTATTTCTTAAATAACTCATCATGATGAAAAATGAGTAATTTTAAAAGTACATATAACACAATTGTTAATTGTAAATTATTTCGAAATGGTAATATTATATTTTCATACACCAGTATCGTTAGTACACACATAAGTGACAGTCTTGAGCAAGTTTCTTGGGCCAATATATATATGGGAGATAATAGTCGTTATGTGAATTCACACTTTGATTAGAAACCATTATCACAATTATTCTCATCCCCATCGATCCGCATAATCGAAGCTCTAAAGATGTTGAGCTTATGGGTCATGCTGATCGGGAATGTATAAATACATTTATTAAATTTCTCAGATCCTGTAGAATTCCCGTGAATAAGAACAGATATGTGTATCAGAGGCCGCGCCTATGATTAGACTTCATGTGGTAAAAAAATATGGAATATTTTTCATTCCAAGGTGTCGCGTATGCGGTGCATTCGAAATGTCTGTCCTCTATGATCGTCAAAATAGACTTTAAACCACTTAGAAGAACACGTATTAGTATCACATACAATGAAAAAAATATGATGTTTAGTTGAGTAGATATTTACGATCTTGAACTAACTGTAAGATGGAAAATCATATTTATTTAATTTATCTATCAAGTACCATATCTTTGGAATTTCTTTCACTTTTGCACCCTTAATTATCGAGAGTTAGAATAGGTAACAACGGTTTTCTTTTTGTACTGAAATCAAGTATTGTAAAAAGACAAGATAAAGGATCAGAATGAGTGCTTGATATTATGCACAATATGAAAAAGAGCACGTCCTCACGACAGAACGAACGTAGTGTCATTTTTCACCGCAGGTCCACTACTATAGTAAATATTCTCCACCTTTCGAAGGTTATATGAGTCCGCATACGGCACATCGCGAATATATTTCCGATCTTTTGGCTGTCTCGATTTCCCTTTTTCCCTTGATACGGCAAAATGGTTGTTCGTCTGAACAAATAAGCCTCCGCAAAAGGATATTTGCTCAAATAAAACTAGTTACGCATTTATTGTCTAATAAGCTATTCAATGTACGGAAAACTTGGGTAATAATTTATTGCGATGTTATAAAACCTTCCTTCTGACACTTCCATGTTAATGGGGGTTAAGACAATGTGAAATGTTTGCTAAAGGGGAGACAAATTGCGCAAAAATTAAGTAAGCGAAACAGGGCGGTTACATACTAAAGGCGAAACAGATTTAATATGTGCTTTGTACTCCGAGTCGAGGGGTGCGTTCGTGAATACAATCATTTGATGAAAAGAGAAAAAGGGAGAAGAGTTGACCATTACTCATGCACCCTTTATTTCCTGGGCTGGAATTCCAGTGAGCTTTTTCCTGCTAACATAACGCCGTCTGGGGATTCGTTCACCGTAATAATTCATTTAGTAAAATTATTAAATAGTCCTTTTGGACTACTTCCTTCTTTTTGGGGTTTCCTTGGCAGGCATCGGGTTCTTTAGGAAAATGAGTGAATTATAAATCACAAAAGGATTTGAACACGACTGAAAGTTAGAAGGTAACAAACGCACTGTCCAACTCAAATCCAGCTCTTTCTGAAACTTACGTGTTTAACTAACAACACTTGTTATCATCTAGGTTCTAAATTATCATAGAAGTTCATATAATACGCAATTAAAAACAAATTTGTTAAACTTTTTGTTTGTTGGTACACAATAGTTTTATTTTTAGAATATCAAGTCCTTTTATTTTTGTGACCAATTTTATGAAAATATTATGGAAGTTTCTAAAAGTTATAATCCTACCCAAATTGAAATTTTTCTCGTGATGCTGCCTTTAAAGGAAATTTTTATTTTAAAATAAAAAGAAGTAAAGTTTTTAAACGCATACAAAAAACGCATTTTAAAAACGATGACATCAAATTGATAAAATCTCAATAATTTCTGTCCATCGGTTGCAACTGATAGAATAGCTCCACTCAAAACTAAACAAGTCCATTTTCCTCAATTCTAGAGGTAAAATTTGACATAAAAATCACTCATAGAAACCTACTTAATATTCAATGTAAAAATTCATGTGTTTCAAGAAACCGCTATACACTCCAAAAAATATGATAACACCTAGAAATCTCTATATTTTTTTATTTGTTGGTCTTAACGTAAACCCTTTTTCATAATATATAGTAATTCTATTGTTTCATAAGAAGCATGTATGATTAATCATAACGAAGTGTTTATTGTTTCATTTTAACGTGCCTTTCAGTCGGTTTTTATGTTGTGTTGCAATTTCTAACTATTTTATTTACAGTGTTAATTTTGTTTTTGTCATATTAAGTTGTTTAAGTCACGATGAATTAGTCAGAATCATCACACTCCATAAAAAAGGAAAATCAGTGATCTACTTCTCTAATCGCCTTGGTATTCATTTTTCGTCAGTTTCAAGTAGCATTCAAAGGTACTGGGCAACTAAACTCAGAGCAACACAATTCAGGTCGTCCCAGAATTTCCATTTCCATAGACGTCCGTTTTAGTAAATTGCAAGCAATCCAGAAGCGCAATTCAATAGATGCTAACATTAAAAACTTGATCCCTGGAATTTGTTGGATATTAATCTCGGATTAACTTTAAGAAGAAAACTAAGAGAGACAAACCTTAGATCAATAAGGCCCGTGAAAGAAGAACCTTCTCAGCACAGAACTCGTCGACTAAAATTTGCAAAGGAACACCAATCATTCCAAGAAGAACACCAAAGAAGTTCCATTCAATGATGAAACGAGATTGGACCTTAAGTATACATACGATCGTGAAAAAATCTGGAAAAACCTGGAGATCGATACATGGAAGCAGTCAATCCCAGGAAATGCCTATGGATTTGGAGATGATCCTAAACGATCATACAGTGGATTTTATGCCTTTCTTAGGCTATAAATTATTTCAAACATGAAAATGATCGGCCAAATAATTCAACATGTATTTTTAGTACCTGAACACGACAGGCGACGTTAGAGTAGCCAGCAAGACCCAACCGAACTCGTTTGTGACTATCACACGCGATCAACCCCCTACAACCGTTGAAATGCTAAATCCGACTGTTTTGGAAGAAGGTCAACATAACCTACAATTCACTAGTTTTCGTGGTCCGCTTGACCAATTAATATCTTTCAATTAATTAAGGTTTTTAGTTGAGATAAAAAAGTTAGTGTCATGAGGGGATTCGAACCCACGATCTTCGTCACGATAGCTCAAGTGGTAGAGCAGCGGCGTATCTAGCCGAAGATCGTGGGTTCGAATCCCGCTCGTGACTCTGACTTTTTTATCTCAACTAAAAACTTCAATTAATTGAAAGATAACCTAGAATTTTCTACAAACACATTGTGGAAGCATGCCAACAATGATGAGTTATTAAAGAGTTATTAAAAGTCTTCTTAAACCATCTGTATTCGTAAAATTCAAAAATCACACGGTTGTGATATTTTTTACTTAAATTTCTTCTAATGGAAATTTTTGGTTTTAATTTTTAAAGAATAATTAAATAACATAAACTAGTAATAAGCTAAAAATACTTCTTTTTTCTAAATAATGTTAATAATTTTTTCTCTTTTCCAGGTGACTGTTACCCGTAGCATAATATCCGGTATCGTAGTAAGTAGGAGAAAAACCAGCCAAATTTTCAACTTATGATAATTAAGATAATTTAGTAATTTATGCACGTTAAAATTCGATTCTTTTCGATTCGAAACAAAGATTAGTGATTTATCATTACTCAAGGTTTTCGGGTCAAATTTACAATAACGGGTTGTTATCAACTTACTAGTGAAGATTTCCCAAAAATTAGATAAGCTAGAAAAAATAATTTTTCAATTCTGCATTCTGCAAAAAAATACCTAAATAAATAAACTGCGATGATTAAAAAAAGGCAGAACACTTATCAGAATTATACTGGGTGTCTCGTGAACAGACATCAGTATTTCAGGAGGTTATGCTACATCTCAAATTGGACTAGAAAGTAACTGTTGTCGAAAGTTTGATTCGCAATTGTGTTGGAGATATTTCACTTTTCAGGGTACTTCAACCTTTCCCAACTTTATTCCATAAAGCGCATGTTTTGCTTGCATCCCCAACAACGATGGACATTTTTAACATTTAATTTAATTTTTGTAGGGTTAATTTGAATGAAAAAGGATGTTTTGTTTACTATTTATCATTATTTTTTTATAAGTTTCAAAATCTTGAAGTCCTTTTTTTGTTTTATGTTGATGATAATTTACCTTTACAAATTAAATGCATTTCTATAAAGGTCATTAGTAGGGGAAATTTTTAAATAATTTATACGGTTGGTGTACTAGTTTGAGAAGAAAACTCAACAAAAAAAGTCCTAACATTATTATATTTCACAATTTCGTCGTTCATTATCAAGGAAAATCTAACCAACCAAGCGAAGATAAGCAGATCAAAATTTCAGGTTCATCACCTCTTCAAACATCATGGAGAAACTGAGAGAGAAATTCATATAACTTTAGAACAAAAATTAAAGAAGAAAAGATAAAAGATCCACGATCATATGACACACTATTAGAAGAAGATTAACTCTAATGATGGTCCTTTATAATTATTATCTCAATTTGCTAATTAGGCTCAATTAAAAATTGGTCCTTCAGAGCAATAATTCATCAACGTATCTCAGATCTAGGGAATGAAAGGGTTTACGTGACAGCGAATATAATTGAAAAACATTAAGCGAGATGTAAGAGGCTTCAAGTATAAATTTTAAATGTTTAGATATGAAGTAGGTCAGACGTCATAGTGGATTTGATATGTTTCAATTTCGACACCAACCCAACCATTTGAAAATAACAGGCAATAAATATGGCACTAAGCTCAATGGTATACAGCTTTGAAAAACAGCGTTCAATTTCAATAAGGTAATTTATTGTTCAATTGAACTAAATTCATATTTCATTATATAGTATCTACAAATTATTTTATTCCCTTTAACAAATCATAAATTTTAAATTTAATAAACAAGGTCGGCCTGCTTTTCACTTCTATATTCCAGGCCATTAATTACCTCGAAATAGATAAAATCTAACATGTTGGTTATTCTAAGGCTTAGTACACGGGGCGTTGAATCGCACGGTCGATCACGCGTAAACGGGCGCTTGTGGCGTACACATGGAGCGCTTGGATAAGGGCAATTTTACGATGGAAGCCGAAGAAGTCGTTTGTCTGTGGTATCTCTATCGCCGCTATAAACTAACAGCGACAAAATTGTAAGAGATAGATTCACAAGTAGTATGTTCGTTACTCCCTAACGAATCACGTGATTACGAACCAAAACTTTTCAATTATATCATAATGTCAATTGACGATTTGTTGCACTTGATTAAGGGCGATATTTCATCAAGAAACTTCAAGAACAAGAAGTGTGTGAGGGATCCCAACCCGCCAGAAGAAAACTCGTCATAAAAACATCAATAATGTTGACATTGCAGAACAAGAGAGGATCAACTTTTAAAAATACATTGGAGAACAAGTTAAAAGCTCCAGGCATTAGAGACGTTTAGAAAAGCTCCAGAGCTTCCCTACCATACTGCGATGCTGAACTGCTCGTTCGTAAAACCACCACTAAATCAATGGTGGTTGATGGCATATAGTCATTTGTGATGGTCGTGACAGATATGTCGAAGCGGTAAAAAATATAATAATCGCTACATTTCACATTCCGCAATGTAGGTTTTTTTTTCAGTTTCGTCGATCAGGATATCGGTGTCAACAAGGTACATTTCTATCATGAAGAAAAGAATATTTTCCGGTAAAACGCGCGTTGATCTGACAGACCGTCTCCAGTATTTCTCGAACCCTTCCCGATAATCTCCTTTGACGCCTAAAGCTTTGCTAATATATTTACACCTTGTCACCACACCTTTGTAATAGTTAGTTAAAAAATAACTAGGAAGGGTCTCTTTATGTTTTATATATGGGAATTATACTTTACACCACATTGGAAAGACGTTTCTTCCCCTTTCAACGTAGGAATTAATGACGGATGGAAAGCCGTTCTGCTCAAGCGTTAAATAACTTGCAGACAACGTTTAAATGGTGTTTTTATCTCCGTTTTTCTCTACAGACAAAACGTGCAAAGCTTTGTGGGGGAACATATATTAAATATAAACTCCAATTGGCGCTCCTCTGGAGAAAGGAATTACACCCGTATTTCAACGCGTACTTTACAATGAAAAAAATGATGAATTTTTTTCATATTAAAAGGGCTTCTTTCTAACGCTATTGTTGTATGAGTATACACAATATTTGATGAATGGAGAAATAAGAGATAGATAATTGTATACATATATAATAAAATAAGGTATATGGAAATCGAAAATACTAATTACCAATGATGAAAGAAACAATGATGAAAGAAAACATGATTTCTACAAACTATCGTCACTTATATTCCTAGAGAACTGATTAAAGGCACTTGCAGCATATTGTACATTACATTCGACGACTTCGGACCTCCACTAATTACTAGGACTAATTACCAAATATTATAGTAACATGGTAGTCTTTAATTGTTTGCCGTGGCATTATTGAATGGTCTGCGGTATGAATAGTTATCAGAATTAATATTTTTAATCATCAGTTACTCCGGTGAGTCCGACGAAAATAGGAGCTCCTTAGACCGTAGAAGGTTATAATGTTTTCGCACGGTATTAAAGATGCCGTGGGCTAAATGCAATCTACATTTTTAAGGAGATTTCGTGGACATCAAATGATAAGATATCGACCTGTAGTGGAGTTTAAGAAATACCGGAAATGCAAATCCTCTATAAATTACTACAAGGAATACGTAAGATGAATCGAATGACATCACTTTTTTGTTGACTGAATTGAGATCTGAACTATTTTCTAAAATTTGAGAAAATTTTTGGCGAATCTATTAATATACTACACAATAAACTAACTGGTGCTACTAATGAAATTGCTACACAATGCCAAAAAATTAAATGATTGTTTCTCTAAAATAGAAAAAATTGGAAAATGATAACCTTGCTTTAAGGAAAAAAGTATTACAGTTAGAGTTCTCAATGGTTAAAAATGAAAAAAAAAAAACTCCTATCTACATTAGTAATAAGAAGAATTCCTCGAGATACTAATGCAGATGCCATGGGCATTACTATACTAAAAAAGTACTGGCCGCCTTAATATAACTATGGATAATAAGTAAATCGACAATTGCTTTTGACCCAAAGCAAAAACCGGATCTACACACCAGAAGTAAATTTTTGTTGATTGAAAATAAGAATACACATTTGAAAAAAGATGAAAATTCTTCAATTACAAATATAAATTGCGCTGAAGACTTAAAAAATTTAAACTTAAAATTTAAATTAAATTTATTTATGTAAATGTTTCCATTTTGTTTATTGTCTGATAATTGTCATATTCAGGTGTGTAACATGTCTTTTGAACCTTGTTTTTCATTGCTTTGTTTAATCTCACTTTTTCCATTTCTGTTTATTTGCCGTTTTATTTCTTATTATTAAAACATTTTTAATTTCTTTTCTGGTAAACTTTTGCCATTCAGTATACCGTGCCAAGTTTTTCTCCTCTTTCTTTTATGGCTGATTTCTTACAACAACAACTTGTATCTTCCCTTAGCTGTGAAATTCATAGTGCTGAACTGATAAATAATATAAAGTTGCGTGATTTAAAAATTTTAAATTTCAATAAAATGAATTTAAACCATAATCTAGATTAATTTTTAATTTACTTTAATAAACATATTGAACTTTTGGATATTATTATACTTACAGAAACATGGAATAATAATTACTTGAGCTATGAAATTAGAATCTTCTATCATTTTACCAGAAGAAATGTTATTAACGAAGCCGAACGTGAATCTATTTACTGATAGCATGAATCAATTTCTATGCTTATTCGATTTTGGTAAACACATTATATGTGGAGGTATGAACATGAATTTGCTAACTTCCAATAATTTATCGATACTTTAATGTGTTAGCTTCTCACGGTTCTGTATTCAATAAACCAACACAGGCACTCAGGAATCACTGATTGATCATGTATTTATTAAGGGGTATCATTTTCAGCTATTAAATAGTTTTATTGTACAAACATGTATTACGACAATTTCACCATTATTTTTACCATTAAAGATATTAAATCAAATAATTCAAAGCTCAATCTAATATTAGGTATAAACAAATTATTAGTTATGATTTATTATTTAGGTTTTGGGAAAGTGTAAGATGGAACAAAATATATGAAGTTAGTGATTCTGTTTATAATGCGTATCAGATATTTTTGGATTGTTAAGTTATTATATTGATAACTCCCTTATTTTTGTTAAAGTTAAAAAAAAGTTTGTCAAAATGAAGAGATGGAACACGAGAGGTATTTTGGTCTCAGTGAGAAATAGGGATAAATTATACAGGAAGGCAATAAAGAACACTTCTTTTGAGTAAAGTAGTAAAAAACGCTTAATATAACCATTTTAAACATATAGTTGCTGATTCTGAAGACGATCCTGAAAAGATTTGGGTGTTGATTAGGTCAGCAACTAATGATAAACATAATGAGGGCATTTTAATGAAATTATTTTCTTATTCTGATCGCTGTAACAGACAATTTAAAATCGCAAATGAATTTAACAACTTTTTTTCATGTGTTGGTGAGAATATGGAATTA